GCAATAGAAAATTCATTAAAAATTTTAGTTCGTTTGAAGCTTAGAAGCATTTCTAATGATTGTCTTATTTTTGAAGACAAGGTCATAATAAGAAAAGTGTAATAAAGGGATTGAAAGCTGAAGAAAATATACAATGAGAATTTGCCTGCTATAGAGCCGAAGAGAATCTGAAAAAATCAGTAGCAGAGAACTTGCATAAATCATATTCAGCTAATTATTGGAAGGCTATAAGAGAATTCTTTCAAATATTAGGCTTTATCAGCATTGATGATAAATGTATTTTTTCTGGTAATATTGTATCAGAAGCATTTATGCAATTCTGTGAAAAGTTTATAGAAATTTGTAATCAATCCTTATTGTTCTTTAGTTTTAAGTCTCATACTAAGATAATACCAGATCTTAATTCAGCTATAAAAGCAATCAATGCAATTGCTAGTAATTAGTGTGGCTATACTATTAAAAGTAATAAAAAAAGAATAGGTTCTAAAGGATAACAAGTTTGGTAATACTCATACTAAATTAATTGCTAGCCATATAATAATATTAGTTTCAGAGATAAAGGCGTATCAGAACTTCTACCATATAGGTCAAAAACAGATAATGATATTCAAGAACTTTTTGATTCTATAGGATAGAATAAATAAAACTTCAGCCAAATCATTATTTAGCTAAGTCTTAATCATATTAGATTCTGTTTTAGTTTTTTACTTTTACGTCAAATACAGTCATAAAATTCACTATGCGTGTTACAGATTTTAGTATTAGAATAGGTTAGCTTATTACAGATAGAGCATATTATTTTAGGATAGGCTTTATAATGTCTGGTGCATTCTAAATCACTCGTGCATCCTTTTTCACATTTCAAATCATCTTTCTTGATGTATTAGCAGATAAAATGAGTTATACAAGATAATTTGATATTAATAATCTTAAAACTTCGCTTTCATTTTTATTATAGATATTCAAAATTTCTTTGCTTTAGTATATTTGGCCAAAGTTACAAATCTTACTCACTCTTTTTATAACTCTCTAGCCAATTTTTCTTATAAATAGATTTGGTATGTATTATAAAAAAGGTCAACCTATTACAGTAGGATGTGCATATTTTTTCTGGTGAAAACCTATAGTGTTTGACATACCTGTCCTTACAAAAGTATCTTTTCCCACAGATAGACTTATTTTTTTTTTATATAGGCAAGGCTAAGATAGGTAATTAGAATTTATAAAGTCTTCTGAATCAGATATATATTAGTGTTTAGACCTGGATTGATAATGGATAAACTGGATTTATCCATTAGAAAAACAACTATCTAGATTGAATCCATTAAAGAATTTCAAATCCAGTTTTTAAATCGGACTAATCTGGTTTAACCATTAATTTAACAGTTTTATAATGGTTTGATAATGGATTTTTAACGGATGAGGGTAATGATTAAGACAATGCTTTATATTTACTTATATGGGAGAAATCAAGAACGATCATTGCTAATCCAGAATAAAAATCAAAACTTTATTATAATCAGAACATTAATTGGCTATACTAGGATGAATTGTATCAAAATTAGATGCATTTCTTTTTAAAAATATAATTTTTTTGAATAATTCTAGCTTCATACGTGTCCTTTTGTTAGTTAATAAATTGCTGGCATCAGAAAAAAGATGTTCACTTGCAGTTAACGTTGCAGAAACTGCCAAATACTTTTGAGCAAGATGATTTAAAACTGGAAATTTATCTTTTTTTCCATTCCACTATACAAGAAGATTTGAATCTAATGGAATTTCAGGTAGTTGAAGATATTCACCAACTTTATTCAGAGTAACCACGCTATCTTTAGTAAGTCATGTTATTAAAGTCCTTTTTTTTGTTGAAGATTTTGGTTGAGATGTTTCTGATGAATTAAGTATACCAGTTTCTTTTTGATAATCTTTTATTTCTTGTTCAAATAATTTGTGTAAATGCCGTTCAGTATTAACTTGTTGATCTATTAAAGCAAAATCAAGTTTTTTCAAATATGGAAGGAATTAGATTTTCAGTGGTAAGTGTAGGATAATATTTTTTTATGTTTGTATATAATCTTAATTTGGTTTTATCAAGTAAACCAAAAGTATTAACTGGTTCATTAATTTTAATATTTTTATTTGATGACTCTTCTTCCTCATCATTTTCAAATGCATTTTCTTCTTGTTCATTATTATCAGAATCTTGATAATATGACAAATTGGTTGTAAATGTTTTAATAATTTCTATCTACATTGGTACACACAAACTATTAGTTATATAATTACTTTCTCCTAATACTTCTGTTGCTTCTGCAAATGTTGACAATATTTCTGTTAAATCAGCAATGAGATCCTATTCGTTATCAGTAATCATTATTTCTTTCAATCTTTTAGCATCTTTTTTTGAATCTAAGTCTATATTACTTGAAATTGTATTTAATAAAATTTTGATCCATCCTTTCAAATATAACAAATGTTTCTATGCAAGAAAATTTGAATTCCAGCGTATAGATACATCATTAATCAATCGAAGATATTTGGCTGTATCTTTAGCGTTCTAAAATTGTAATATATAAATATATAGTAAGTTAAAGTTATTTTGATATTATTAATAAAAATAAAATAAAAATAAATTTTTTTAAGAAAATTCTTACAATATTTTTTTCTTCCATTTCAATTTTCAAACTATCTAATATATTTGCATTTGGATATTTTTTTTGAACATCTTCTAAACGCTCTGATTGTTTAGGACGAGTAAAAATTCAATTAGTTGTTTTACTCGTATAATTAATGCTTTAACAGGAACTAAACCTTTTTCAATTATAAGTTGAAGAGTATGCGCATTACATCCTTGCCATTTAATTACATCCATATCTAAAATTGCTTTTTTCATATTTGCCCTATTGTCAGTAGTGATTGTAAAACCTTTTCACGTAAATTCCATTTTACAAATATATCTTCTAAACTTTCAGCAATATGTTGAGCGGTGTGAGAGTATCGAACATAATTAATTATTAAAGTAATTTCATTAAGATTGAATTTTGAATCAATATAAGAACAGATTACACCAATGTATTCTTACCCATTCCTTGCGGTCCACATATCAGTAATTAATGATACACTTCTTGCTTCCGTGTTAATTTTTTCAATTAACATTGGCAATGTAAAATTATAAGCATTATAAATAATCTTTTTGATTCTCTTTTCATCAGGCATTATAAAGGCTGGATCTAATTCACCAATAAATCGATGGAAAGAAAGATTTTAAACTACATACAATGATTGAAGATCATCAATTATCCAATCAGCCAAAAATTGACGAAGTTCATTTTGACGATTTTCTTTATGTTTTTGAACCTGAAGAATAGCAGGAAGAGTTTGCTGTTTCTATATAATAAATAATAAATTTATTATATAATTTTTGACTCATTACAAAAAAATTAAAGAAAAAATACATACATTATTTATTTTACCATTTTTTGATATTTCGTGATCAGTTAATAAATGATTAATGGCATTTCCGGTTGAACTATCATTAACATAAAGAGTTTCACATTTATTTCCTTGAGTATCTAAAACTTTACATCTTTTAAGCGGTTCTCCTTTATCATTTGTTTGTTTTACATCTTCAAAGTAATCCCAAGTCCAACTTCTTTTTTTTCAATTTTGTTTTGTTATTTTTGTTGGTTGTTCTTCTTCAGGAGTCAAAGGAGTTAAAGGCGTCAAAGAACCATCTTGTCTTATATTATTTGTACTGCTCATGATTGAAGCTAAAACAAAAAAAGAACAAAGATTGTATATCATTTAATTATATCTAATTTATAATCGGATATCTGATAATCCAGATTAAATAATTTAACCAGATATCTGATATTTTTTATCAGATTTAATCGGTTACATCTGATAGTTAATTTTAGTATCTGGATAATAATCCGTTGATTAAACTTCAAATCAGATATCTGTTAATAACGGATACCCATTAACAAATCAGATTAACGGTTTACGGGTCTAAACACTAATATGTATTCACTAAAAGATCAAAGAGTATAGTACTTCTTTCTGAAAAAGTTTTTAAGATTAATATACATTAAACTTATCTTTATTTTTTATTATAGATATTTAAAAATGTGTTATACCAGTCTGCAAAGTACCTTAATAACAGACTATAAGTTATATCATTTTTTTTCGCCCCCTTAATCTTCTCAAAAGTCATCTCTGATATTTTTCCTTTTCGAAGAAGTATAGCTCTAAGGAAATTTTTTGAATTGAATTTTTTCTTATATAATATAACTAGATAACAGTTAATATTGATATGGCTACTGCAAAAACTATCCCAAAGGCCTGAAAGCCTAAAACTAATAACTTTATTTTGATTTTAGACCAGTTATTAGAAAAATGTAATTTGTCAGCTAATTCTATTCCAAAATAATTGAGCGAATATGCTCCTAAACTAGATGCTTTACTTTCAAATTGAATGGTCTGTAGATGTGTTAAGATAGCTCTTATTAAACTTAAATATTTATTTAGTAAAGAGAAAATAGAGGTTCTCCTACCAGACAAAAGAATGGAGAAGCTTATCATAGAGGATAAGGTAAAATACTGTGCTAAAACTAATAATGTTATAGATATTTTTATCTATCATTTAGACTTAAACCTGAAAAATGATGATGAAGATGAAATAATTACCAGTAGCTCACGCCAATCTTAATTCTGTGTGAAGTTATTAGAAGCTGAAGTGGATTCTGAAATTATTAATACTTACGCTAAAATAAGAATCTTATCCAAGAATCTAATAAAATTTAGAAAAAATGAACTAATAAGCGAATGGCTGATCCAGATAGAATTCCTATACATTTCTCCTTAGCAAATATGAGTAAAAGGATTTAGAATATGAATATTTCCAAAATTCTTACTAGAGAGAATCTCGCAGATGTGATAGTAATGTTAAGTATGAGATCTGTAAAAGTAAGATCTCTTCAAATTAATCACTATGAATCAGATTCTTTGAATATTTTAGTATGGTATAAAGAAGGCTATTTTTGATACTGCATAGACTATCTAAAGAGTAGAGGAGAAAAGAAGGAAAATCCTAAGCCTTGACCATTTCTTTCTATGAAAAAGTATCCAGAACACACCAAGGAATTACTCACCTAGATCTGAGATGCAATTAAGGCTAAAAAGTTACGTAATCCTGTTTATACTGAAAGTGGAATACGTAATGCTTGGCTATTTACGAATTCTTAAAGCAAGAGCCTATAAAACTATACCTAAAAAATTAAGAGATTATGAAAGTAAACACGCTTTCAGAGTTCATAGTGGTAAAAATCCAACCCTCCAATATCTTAAACTTCTTTCAAGAATTGCAATGAGATAAAAATCAGACCGTCTTGATGCAGGTGGTAATTATGCTATAAGTAATACAGAATCAGAAAACAACAGTACTGAATCTGATTATGAATCTGAACTTGAGGCAAATGATAGCCTAAAACCCCAAACACAGGCTTCTTCGCCTACACTCCAGCCCGATCCAAAAAGTCTTAAACTATGAAAATGAATTTAATATTAGCTGAAATTGATACAATGTTAGCTGAAATTTAAAAATAAATGCCAATTTAGAGCAGGCTGAAATGCGCGAAACATGATCATGAATTAGATTTTTTTTGCTGGATTATGCCCTGTATGACAAAAAATATAGATTAGCATTTTATTCTCTATTGATAAATTTCTGTATTATCACACTTAGAACGTCTAAACTTTTAAATATATGCTCTTACATCTTTCTTAGCTTCTTTTTTTATCATTTCTTCATCAGTATAACCAACAATACCAAGATAATATTAAATAATACTTATATTCTCTTCCAGATATAAAAGCAAATAGTATTTTTCTCTAATTAAAAATTTTCCTAATGATCTATTGATAAGATCTTCTCTATATCGATATAATGTATTAAGAGTTGGATATCTGCCAATCTTAAAATGCTCCTTTATTGATATAATTATCTTCACCAAATTAAACAATAGTCTACTTGTATAATCAAGTGTTTTCACTTTCTTGCTTTGATTCAATGCTGTTTGGTTTGCATTGTCATTAATACCATGATTTTTTTTGGCTAGGCATTTCTGAATAGCTAATACATCTATCTTCTTATACAAAAGCACTTTATATAGTTGATTTTCAAGTATTTCACTTTGAATAAATTTATTATTAGTATTACTTGTTATAATTGTATTTATCTCTAGCTAGCATATATTCAAATCTATATTCAAAATACTGATCATCAACTGGAGTGGTGATTATCAGCTCAAAAGATTTTTTGCTGAGCTATGCATAGCATCTTCAACTAGATTATGCGACAAAAAATGTGGATCATTAATCAGATTTTATGCGACATATTAATTTTTACAAAAAGAAAATAACTAGTATCTTTATTTTTTCTCAAACAATCATGAGAAAAATGTGAAAGAAGGTCTATATGTAATACAGGACTTACTGTAAAAATAAATATTAACGTCAAAAGCATATGTTATAAAGGGCTGAGGGACTTACAATTTCAAGATTGTCAGGTGTAAATCTAACTATATATCTTGTAAGATAGATTTATATATGAAAAGGTAAGAGGATTCCATTTGCATGTGCTTTTGTTTTAGCGTTTTCAGCTAAAGAGCTCTTGGCATCATATGATAATGCTAATCACTCTTCTTATCTTCTTATCTTTTTTTCTAGTAAGATATAAAGCATGTAGAAGTATATAGAAGTTTAACCAACTTTTTGCAAAAAATATTTCTGTAAAATAGTTTTACTAACGTAACTAACGCAAAATAAGATATGTATATGTCAAAAAGTTATGTATGTACAAGAGCAAGTTTTTTTTTCACTATAGATTTATTTTATCAAATAAAGTAAGATGTCTTTCAAATTCACTTAAGCTGATAAGATTAAAAAATATGAAATGAAAAGACTTATTAAGTATTTGTGAGAGGATTTCAAATCAGAAGGTTTAGAACTTGACAATGACTTTTTACAAAGCTTGAGAAAAAAGAAATCAGTTTATTTCTCAAGCTAACCGGATGAGATTTTAAAGAATACAGAATAACATTAAGACAAGCATTAGAACTTGAGGATTATATAAAGAGGTTAGGTAAGTAATTAATTTTACTGAGCCAGAGGGGTTTGAAGAGAGACTATCTGTTTTGCATAATATTATAGCTGAAATCTAATTATCATTGCCTTTAGTAACAGATATTCGAGAAGCAAAAATAGGTTTAGGAGATATCCTTGTTAAAAAATAGTATTTTTATTCACATTATGTAAAGTGATATATTTGTATATAGCATCTCTCTGCCAATTTTTATGTATTGTAAGTCAGCTCTGACTATGTTTATTTCATAAATAAAGTATTTTTATTATTTTATTAAATGTAAATGAGAATGTGAATCACGTATAATAGTGTAATGCCTGTGTGATATAAAAATTTATATTAATACCCAATAATTTCCTTTCTAAACAGAAATAAATTTTTATCTTATTCTGAAGCGTAACACTATTTTTTTCTCTGAGCCTATTATTCCTATAAAGTACTATGTTTACTTCAATAGCTGAATATGACTCTTACCTAGTTGAAAACTGGAATATAGAAACCCTTATCGATTTTTTGAAAGAGCAGAACTTCAAGCTCGATGATGATAACTTGAGAATACTTTACAACAAAAAAATTATCAGTCAAGACTTTCTCAATATAACTAAAGAAGATTTTTAAAATTATGGTTTAAAAGAAGAATCGGTTATGAGACTTGCAAAAGAAGCTAAGACTTTCAAAGAAAAGCTAAAGTGTGCATTCTTCTCGTATCGCAGTTTAAAAGAAGTGTTAAAAAAATATGAAATTAAAAGTAATACTATAACGAGCATTCCTCAGTTCATATCAGGTAAATTATGCTCTTAGCAATTTTTTTCATCACAAATACTAACTCAAGTATTCTGAATTTATAGACCCTTATCTAATCGATAAAAGTTCTAAGAAGTTTAAGCTCTGCATAGATGACATTCTTCATAGAATAGAAAATATAGAGTTAGTCGTAGATAGTAATGAGATTATGCATTGCGAATATATAATAACAATCCTTCATACTACTGTCAGCATCCTTGAAGGATTGGTAATCTTGTCTCAGATAAATATATCTGGTGAAGAAAGTTCTATGTTGACTATGCAATCAAGAAAATGTCATGCATCCTTTGTATTTATTTTTTCATATTGATAATAAAAATTTTCACTTACAGGCTGTAAGTGATTTTTTTTATTTTGAATATAAAGTGTTTTTATATAAAATTTATTGATTATGTCTAATACTCAATCCAATAATTCATTAAGAGAATTAAATACTAAACTCTTAGTTGAGATTGCAGAACTTAGAAAGGAAAATGCTGAGATTTCTGATCTTAAAAGTAAGTTATTTGAGTTTGAATCAAAGAAAGTTGAGCTTAAAATCAGGCTTACTGAAGCTCTAAAACAGGCTGTGAAAGAAAGTAAAAAACATGATGCTGAGAATGTCAAACTCAAGACTAGAATTGAGGCATTGGAAAAATGCAAGGTAGATCTTTCAGCCGAGAATGTTAGACACAATGTTGAGTTTGCTGAGCTAAAGGCTAAAGTAGTAAAATTAACCAAAAGCACTCAGGTAAGGGATGATAATGAGAATAACAAACAGCTAACCCAAAATATTTCTCCTGAAGTAATTGTCAATGTATCTAGCATCATTACAGAT